ATCTTTTCTGGCCATGTCTATTAGGAGTTCTATGTGCTTCCTGTACTTAGATGCCCCTTTATCCAAATTAGGGAAGTTTTCTGTTATTTCACTAAAAATTTCTTCTTATCCATTCTCTTTACATGCCTTCAGGAACTCCTAGAACCTGTATGTTGGGTTATTTGATAGTATCTTGTAGATCTCCAACAGTGTGTTTTTTTTTAAGTTTTCCAGTTTTTTTCTTGTTTTCATTCTGACTGTAAAATTTCCAGAGTTTGTCTTCTAACTTGGATATTCTTTCTTTTGCTTCTCTGAGCCAGTTGTTAAGGATTTCCATTGCAATTTTTGTTCTATTGAATTACCCATTTCCAATATTTCATTTTGATTTCTCTTTAAAATCTCAATTTCATGGGGGAACTTTTCTATCATGTCAGGTATGGATTTCATTAGATTGTGAATTTGCTTCTGATTACTTCTAAGTAGTCCTATAATCAGTTTTTTGAACTTCTATCATTTCTTCAGTTTCTTTATCTTCATATTCTAGTATTGAGGTGTTGTATTCTTTTGGGGGCATCATATTGTCTTCCTAATTCTTGTTTCTTGAATTGCTGCAATGATTATTCAGCATTTGTGGAGATACTTGTTGGTTTCTTTGTTTTTCCCTATGATGGCTTTTATCTTTGGACTATGTTTCTGTGGCTTAGTGAAGTGTCTGCTTTTTAAGTGAACACCCAGAGGCATGTGGTAGGTGTGGCCAGGGAGCTCTGTTCAGTGCTCCAAGGTGAAGGGGGGGGGGTCCAAGGTGACACCCAGGTTGGGTGTGGTAAGTCCCCCCCTCTTTTTTTTTTTTTTAAATCATAGGTGAGGTTTGTCCGCTCTGTTGGCATAATCTCATGCTCACCTCCTTTCCTCAAAGGAGACCAGTTCCTGGGCGCTAGCCCCAAAGGGTACAATATTGATTCATGCTGCCCCAGAAACCACACAAAAGATCTGTGCAATCTTTGACAGCACAGATCCCTCAGCACTGACCTTATCACCAGGGAATTAGGGAGCCCCTAGCATGCGGAGCTGCCCATAGTGACTGTCCAAAGTCCTGGCCACACCCTGTGTCCTCCCACACAGCCACAGTGTTTTCACAGTTCTAGCATCAAGCCTCCAGCGGTCATGAGCACCCAGACCCTTGTCAGTTCTTTTTTTTTTTTTTTTTTTTTTTTTGACAGGCAGAGTGGACAATGAGAGAGAGACGGAGAGAAAGGTCTTCCTTTTGCCATTGGTTCACCCCCAATGGCCACTGCAGCCGGCGCACCACGCTGATCCAAAGCCAGGAGCCAGGTGCTTTTCCTGGTCTCCCATGCGGGTGCAGGGCCCAAGCACTTGGGCCATCCTCCACTGCACTCCCTGGCCACAGCAGAGAGCTGGCCTGGAAGAGGAGCAACTGGGACAGAATCTGGCACCCCAACCAGGACTAGAACCCGGGTTGCCGGTGCTGCAGGCAGAGGATTAGCCTATTGAGCCGCGGCACTGGCCCTTGTCAGTTCTTGTAGCCAGACTCTTGCAGGTGTCTCTACTCGACTGGTTGCTGGATGCATGGACATGAGCTGGTGCAGCTGTTCTATACGTCCTAAATTGTGCCTACCTTATCCTGGTTTGCTACAGGACACGAGTTTAGGGTGGTCGGGGAGAGAGAAATGTGCCCCCTTTTTTTCCTCTAGTTTGGCAGGTACACTGTTCCCCGCAGTGCTCCAAGCCAGCCCCACACCAGGCTCTTCCTACAGCTTTATCACCAGTGGCTACTGCAGTCTAGTCTTACCTCACTCTCCAAGGCTGGTGCTGAGTCTCTGGGCTGCTGGGGTCCTGAGTTGTGCACATCCACACCCTCTACATAAGTCCACAGTGTCCCTCTAATTTGTATGAAGTTTTCTATGCCATTTTCTCCCTAACTGTTCCTGAGACTGCACTCTCTACTTTTTTTTTTTTTTAAACTATCTTTCCTTAGACTAGAGCAGTAAGATCCCTCTCTATTCTACCATCTTGGATCTCCCAATCTGTATCTTTTAATTGGAGAGTTCAGGCCACTGTGTTCAAGGTGACTATTAATAAGTAACAACTTGGCCCTGCCATTTTTCCATAAATATTCCTATTTTTTACTTTGGATTTTCTTTGTACTTTTACTAGGAGATTTTCTGCCTACACCTTCTTTCTTAATGATGATTGTGTTTCTGTTTGTAGCCCATCCTTAAGCATCTTTTGTAAGGTTGGACAAATGGTGACAAATTCTTTGAATTTCTGTTTGTTATGGAAGGTCTTTATTTCACCTTCATTCATAAATGATAGAGCTTTGCAGGGTACAGTGTTCTGGGTTGACAGTTGTTTTTCTCTTAAGACTTGGAATCATCTTGACATTTTCTCCTAGCTTATAGGGTTTCTGCTGAGAATTCATCTGAGTCTAATTGGAGATCGTCTGAAAGTAATTTGACATTTCTCTAGTGCACATCTTAGAACCTTTCTTTTACTGTGCAGAGTTTGACTACAATGTGTTGTAAAGATTCATGTGACCTATTCTTCATTTCTAATACTTCATCTTGATTTCCCTTTAAAAATCTCAATTTCATGGGAAAAATTTTCATTCATGTAAGGATTTATTTAATTCTTGGATTTGCTTCTGATTACTTCTAAGTAATGGCATGATCAATTTTTTGCATTCAGTTTCTGGCATTTCTTCATTCTCTTCATCTTCACATTATACTATTGAAGTGTTTGTTCCTTTGGGGGAATCGCGTTGTCTTCTTGTTTCTTGAACTTCTGCATTTAATTTTAGGCATTTGTGGAGATTTTTTTTCCTCTGATGGCTTTTATCTTTGGATTATGTCTCTGTGGTTTAGTGGAGTGTCTGATCTTTCAGTGAGTACCCAGAAGCATGTGCTGAGTGTGGCCAGGGAGCTGTTTAGTGCCCAGCGAGAGGGGAGTATCCAAAGTGACACCCAAGTTGGGCATGGGAAATCTGTTTTTAATCAGAGGGGAGGGTTTGATCAGCTACATCAGTTTGATATAGTCTCATGCTCCCTCCTTGCCCAGGTGCTAGCCCCAGTGGGCTCAGTATTCATCACCTCTGCTGCAAGAACCACACAAAGGCTTCATGCAGTCCTCAGTGTGAGCACAGATCCGGCAGCAATGACCCTCACCAGGCAATCCGGGAGCCCTGAGTGTGTAGAGCTGCCCCCAGTGGCTGCCCAGAGACCCAGCCACACCCTGCACCCTCCCACACAGCCATGGTGTTTTCACAGTCCCAGCATACAAGGCTCCCACAGTTATGAGCACCCAGCCCCTTGTCAATTCTCAAAGCCAGACTTGGGCATCTCCTCTTGGCTGGTTGCTGGGCATGCGGGTACAAGCTGGTGCAGCTGTTATGTGTCCAAAATGGCACCCACTCTCTCTCAGCTAGTTACAGGATGCAGGTGCCAGGTGGTTGGGGAGAGTGAGATGTGCCCACCTTTTTTTCCCTCTAGGTTGTCAGGTATACTGTCCCCTACAGGGCTCAAATCAGGCTGTTCTTGCAGCTTTATTGCCAGTGTTTTGGGTTGCTGCAGTCTGGTCTCGCCTCATTCTCTAAAGCTGGTCCTGAGGCTCTCCACTGCTGGGGTCCCGAGTTGTGCATGTCTACACCCTCCATATAGATCCAGTGTTCATCTGATCTGCTTGTAATTTCCTCTGCAGCTTTCTCCCTGACTCCTCCCTGAGACTGCACTCTGGCCACTATTTTTTAACTATCTTCCCCTGGACCCGAGCAGTAAGCCCCCTCCCTATTCTGACATCTTGGAGAAATGTTTGTTTAAAATTATTTGAAAGGCTGAGCAACAGAAGGAGAGATCTTCCATCTGCTAGGCCACTCCTCAAATACCTGCTACAGCCAGGCCTGGGCCTGGCCAAAGCCAGGAACACCATCTTGGTCTTCCACATGGGTGGCAGGAACCCACACACTTGGGCCCTCTGTTTCGTCCCCAGATGTGTTAGAAGGAAGCCAGGGTAGCAGCACAGGAGCTGAGACTTGAACTGGTGCTCTGATACGGGATGTCGGCAGCTTAGCCTACTGTGCCACAATGCCAAGAAAAAAGTTAAAAATTAATGCTTATTTTTTTAAAAGTTTTCTTATTTGAAAGGTAGAGTTAGGGAGAGAGAGGCAGAGAGGAAGATCTTCCATTTGCTGCTCACTTCCTAGATGCCCACAAGGGCTGGCACATTCAAAGCCAGGAGCCTAGAACTCCATCTTGGCCTCCCACATGGGTGGCAGAGGCCCTAGTATTTAGGCCATCTTAGGCTTTCACAGGTATATTAACATGGAACTAGATTGGAAGTGGAGCAGCCAAGACTCAAACTGGGCTCGTGTGGGATGCTGGCATTGCTGGCAGAAGCTTATTCTGCTGCTCCACAACACTGGCCCTGTGTTCACATATTTTTATCTATGTAAAGGCAAAGTGCCGGAACAAAGATCTTCCATCTGCTGGCTCACTGATCAAATGACTGCAACAGCCAGGTCTTGGCCAGGCTGAACTCCATCCAGGTCTCCCACATAGGTAACAAGGACCCAAGTACTTGAGCCATCGCCTACTGCCTCCCAGAGTGTGCATTCGCAGGAAGCTGGAATTGGTAGCAGAGTAAGACTCAAACCCAGGTACTCTGTTCTGGGACATGGACATCCTAAGTGGCATCTTAACCACTGTGCCAGACACCCATTCTGATAATATAGATCACCCTAGTATGTATGGAGATTTTAATAACTCCTCTTTGACCTGAGGTTTCAACTGATTTGCAAAAGAAGAGCTATGACAATCTGAGGATATGTAATTTGTTCAGCATCTTCCTGTTAGCACAGTTTATGTGTGTCAGATGCAGCCCTACTGCAGGGTTTTTTTTTTTTTTTTTTTTTGCAAAAAACTGCCTCAAATTTCAGAGTGATCTTACTACCTAAATGACTATGTCAGTGCTAGTGAGCTGAATCTTAAAAAGAACACGGCAAAACAAACTAACCAGAATGTTATTTATTAATACAAATTCATATAATGGTATATGCTATTGGAGATATCAGAAATTCATAACACACAAATTCATATTAGAAATACAAAAATCATTTAGGGTCAAGAAATCAGGTTGACAGCACCACAAATGTTTCACTCAGTCTGAGCAGGTGTGTAGTACCAAAAAATAACAAATACCTATAGGAGACTGAGGCTGAACATCAAAGATTGTGCAAACACATCCCAACACTATTTCCCATCCAACAGAAAGAATCTGCAGGAGGCCTCCAGCAGAAGCCTAGGGTATAATACAGGGGCAGCAAGGCAGAAAAACGGTGCTGACCATTCATTCTTTCAACCCGCACAGCCAGCATGCAATATCTGGTAGCAACCCCAGAGGGAGTTTTGTTCCTTCTTACCTGAATGCATGATATCAATGGTTAGTAACACACAAAGCATTAGTGAGCAAGTTATAGAAACTGAAATACCATCCTTATTAGTCACCCAATTATCCGATCGCTAAGATGAAGTGTGACACATAAATGAATGATTCTATACCCAACGGGTAAATCTCAACCCCATGTATCTTAACACTTCCTATTTAACAAGCGTGCGTCCACTAAAGCAGTACTGGCATTCAACAAAGCATATGCAGTGGGGTGAAGGGTAGAAAGAACGAGAGGCAGTGATAGTCCGTGGGCTTTCTTTTTAGAGTTCACCATTGCCAGGTCATCACAGGGTGTTGCCCTTGTCACTGCAGAACTCATACTGGAGGCTGCTGGCAGCACTCTATGGCTCTGTCCTTATACCTCCACATAGCAGCCTCATTCTGTGACCTGTGTGCATTCTTCCCATGCGTGTGCCCTATTTAGGAGTCATGGAAGGAGTGTGCAAGAAGGATATGTAAGCAGATGGAAAGGTGGTGTTTTCCTGTGTAAGCGTTCTGGCTAGCCCAATGCAAAGTTGCTCTACCAGTGGTTGGCTCCGTGTCCTTGTTCATCAACATGTACCCTCCAGTTCATTCTGAAAAAGATTCTGTGCTGGCTGATCAGCTCTCCAGCCATGAGCCACCGGTCCTGAACGTCCACAAGGATGCTCCAGGAGTTCTGCCCCAAATTGCTCATGCTGCTCCTGACCAGACAAGAGTTCACAGGCTCACCTCCACCCCTCCCCTCCTGAAACCTTCTCTCACCCCAGAAAGCTGAGACTTCCCTGTGAGTCTCCTGTTCTGGATGCTGATTCAGGCTCCCTTCTTGCTAACACATTAATACAACTTCCCTGTTGAGGTCTCCTTAAGGCCACAGCCACATCATGCCTATATAAAGGAGTGTTTCTTCCAACTAGAAGACTTCACAATTCAAGTAGAAGAGAGAATTGTTTTCCTCTACCCACCCTCGTGACATTGCTACCGTCCTCTCACTTCCCCGCCCTAAGCTTTTCTTTCACTCACTCATTACACCATTTATTACTCACTCAACAAATATTTCTGGAGTGCTTGTAATGTGCAAGGCACTGCTGAAGAACAAAGGCATGGCTCACACAGGTCCTACGTAAGGAGCTGGAGTCTAGTGGTTTCCTGCACCCTTTCATGGCTATTCCTGCTGGCTTTTAGTACCAGGGTGTGTTCTGTTTGGAATGTTCTCAGAGAGCTTGAGTCATCCTACTACAAGTGTTACGCAAGGTGAATGCCGTTATTTGCTGGGTGATCATAGTGTGCCATGCATCTGGGAGACAGCATGGGTTTCCTCCTAAGGAATGGAATTGTGCCTCTGATTCAAAACATGACATGCATGCTTGTATTCTTGTCAATAATGCAGAAGCAAAACACAAAAGCAAACTGTGTACACGCTACTCACAAGCGTTAAGCTGATATTAGAGCACAAATCACTTGAAAGCCATGTATTGATGGCCTTGTCATGAGCTGATGGGGTAAAAAAAAAAAAAAAGTGCCTGAGCTACCAAAAAAGAACCCTCCCCCCAAAGAGAAATCCTTGAAATACAGTAGCAGGGAGGTATTTGCTATGATACACACAGCAAAGAGAACGTGTGTATGTTTGACTTGACCTTGACCTCGGCTGTCTCCTAACGTGCCATATTTAACTGAATCACTTACTATCCTGAAACAACAAAATTAAATACCAACAGCTCCAGAGCACTTGGCCCAGTATAGTAATGGACAAGCCTAAGCCTGGGTGCAACAGGAAAGGGTGGTGATGCTGACTACCAAGGCCACGGTGTACCGATCCTGTTTGCAGTATCTGTCAGGAGGGATGTTTCAGTGCAGTGTTCACCAGTGAGAAATGGAGACATCACGCCAGGCCTCGAGTGAAGCCGTCACTCCTGTGAGTTGAGAAGCTGGCCAGGCCCTTCCTTGCCCAGGGTTTCAGCACCCCCCCCCCCTTGTAAGGGGAAGTCCTCTGTGCTGGAGTCTGACAGAAAAGACCCAGGGTTTCTCCTGTGAAGTGCAGAGAAGTTGCTCATCTAAAGCACATGGAGACTCCCAGGGGGAATGGACTCAGGAAGAGCAAAGAGGCCGTGGCAGTGTTACGTCGAGGGGGAAGTGAGCAGATATCTACATCGTGCTGATGAGCACAATTTTGGATGGAATCTGGGTGTCACTGACTTGTCTTCTGCTGCCTGGAAGCCCAGGAAGAAGAAAGTTGGGGTGTTGGTGGGAGGCCAAAGACTATGCAACACACCCTAGTTTCCTAGGGATCTGCCATGGCCCATGCCCCAGTCCTCTGAAAACCACCGGCTAACCTGTCTCACATCTGTCCTGATAACTAGAATACTTGTTTCTAAGATCAGCCACACGGAAGGAGCTGCTGAAGCTATTGGAGGGATCCATCGAAGTGACTACTCCAACACTGGGGGGAGAGGGGGTCTCAGTGGTTCTTTGCTTCATGAGGTAGCTCAGTTGTGAGTTGATGCATGTGATGTGTGCCAGGTGCCACTCAAAGCTACAGTCTTCCCTTTTTTTAATCTGCAAGATTACAAAAATACCAGTATTTCCCCTTGTTTTATAAAAATGACTTTAGAAAAAATACACACGGGTCCCCGCCATTAAACTTCCGTTCCGTCTTGTAGGTTGTTGTGGACTCTGACTTCTAGATTCAGTTTCTTCACTTTAGCCCCCTTGAACGTGTACACCCCCTGTGCATCACTGAGCAGGTTGACGTTCCGCACGGTGCAGTACTGTCTATTCACGTTCTTCTCCACCCTGTCCGGGTTCCTCTTGGGCACCTCCACCTTGGTATTCAGAGGGTATTCCTCCGAAATGTCCTCTGATGGTTGTTGCTTCCTCTGTTTCTGGCATTTCCTGGTGATAAAACAAGCCACCAAAAACACCAGAAGTAGGAGCATGATGGCAGCCAGGGCACTGCCAATGGACGCCCCAGTCTGGGACAGGGAAGCGGCCACAATGGGCTCTTGCATCTCCAGATTCAGGGACTTCATGTTCGTGCCATTCTTGACTTGGTCCCCTTCATTGTCATAGATGAGGGAATCGTCAAGGGTCAGTTGGCCACTGGGGTCCACCAGGTCCCTTCGGTGGCGTCTCAGGGTGGCTGTGAGAGAGCGCTGGACCCGGGGCCCTGCGATGGTGTCAGGGCCAATAATGTAGATTACCTGGAGATACCACTGGTGTCCTGCCTCCACCTGCCCAGGAGAGAAATGGGAGACAGAGCAAACACGTCACCGTTGCCCTACAGACCACTATAGAAGGAAAGAAGGAACTGGAGAGGCAGTTGCCACTGTATGCCTGGATGGGGGAGTGGTCTCAAGTGTTTACTAAGAGAACTGAGCCAAATATGGGTTCTATTTTATTTCTAAATTAGGGTAAACAGCTACTCATTCTTTTCTGTTTTCCTCCCAATGCATGGAATAGTCTAAGATTTTGCCTTCCGTGGTCTCTTGAGCTAAGTGAATGTTTGAGGTTTGTTAGTCATAGCAGTGAAATAGTGATATTGATAACCACACTTATTCCTTGTGACCTTCAACTGTTTCTTGTCTAGTTTACTATTTATTGCTGACTTTCAGCTAAAAAAGTCATTCAAGAAACATGCACTTAACATCCACTCTGCAAAGTAGATTCTTGACAAAAAGTTGTGAAATCCTAATACTTCCTAGATTACCCTGAGAGATGAAATCATCAAGTACACATTTTATTTCCCTTTCATCTGCCCCCATTGAAACCCTCCATGGTTTTGAAATAACTTCTGAAAAGAGGTGCTAGTTGTGAAATCCTAGGTGATGGATTACTATTTGGAAACCAAAAAAAAAAAAAAAAAAAAAAAAAAAAGTGAAATTTGATCATAGAAACTCAGGTTTATTTCTGGGATTTAGGGTATTTTTGCTTATCAACTTTCATTCTAAATAGATACACTGAATTAATGATTTTGTTGTCTGTGTTCCACATGCCTGTGAAAACTGGCTGGCTCAGCTAGAGACAAAAAGTAAGCAACATAAAAGAAGTTAGGAACAACTGGAATAGCTATGCAGGCCTGATGCCCACAATGCAAACTAGGAATTTATTATTGCTTTGGTCTACTGGGGATAGACGGTGACAGTTTTGGGTGAATGGTGAACTTAATGGCAGTGACAAAGACCTGCCAACAAGAATGCAATTAATAAAAGTGGAAATCCAGAGCTGATGTGGTCCTGCTCTTCTGCAAGCTACACAGTGGAACTGGGCCTACGCGTCTCTTCTCACCAAACTCACCTTGTAGAGGGCATCAACTTTGAGAGTGAAGCCATCCACACCTGGCATGCTGCTGACCACATGGAAGTCAGGCAGCTCGGAAGCAAAGTGGGCCTCAAAAGGTACATCGTGGAAGTATTTATCTGTGACCTCTGGCTGACTGCGGTCCTGGGATTGCAGAAAAAGAAACACAGGCTTTAAGAAGAGAACCAGTGCAGTGGTAGGTGGTGGTCCCTGGGAGGACAGAGGCACTCTCCACTCCTGTTCTGGCTTGGGTCTGGGGAGCATGCATTGTGGATGGTCTCTCCGTTCGTCAGCAGCTGCCCCTGGCCACTCATGGTCGTCTGTAAGAAATGATCATCCCCTGTGATCCCGAAACACAAACAGTGGGACAGCCTTGACTGATAATTCTCAAGCCAAGAGGGTAGTTCAAAATGTTTGTGGAAAAAATGGAATATTATAGTTTTGGGGTGATGCAAACGTTTTTGAAATCCATGCAGTTTTTTTTCACACTACACATTTTCCATGAGCCTTTTGGATATCCCTCAAAAGCTTTTTTAGACTAGCCTGGTGTTCCGGCACGGTGGGTTAAGTGGCCACTTGAGATGCCCACATCCCATACTGGAGTGCTGGTTTGAATCCTGGCTGCTGTGCCTCTGATCAACAGTTTCTTGCTCAAGCACCAGGGAAGGCAGTGAAGCTGGCTCAAGTGCTTGGTCTCTGCCACCTCGCTGATCGAGTCCTAGCTCCTGGCTTTGGCTTGGCTCAGACTTGGCTGATGTAGCATTTGTGGAATGAACCAGTGGATAGAAGACCTGTCAGTCTCTTATTCTCTCTGTCTGTTAAATATAAATAGAATAATCTCAAGAAAAAACCTTTTTGCACCACAATAAACTTGTCTCAATGAATTTTTCACGATTTTTTTTTAAAGTACTGGGTCTCAAGACCCTTGCCACACTTAAAAATCAGGAACCTGAAAGAGCTTATGCTTAGTGACAGATCTATCATTATTTACTCTGTTAAAAATTAAACCTGAAAAAGATTCATTTTAAAATGACAAATCCATTACATATTAATGCTTTTTATTTTTAATTTATTTAAATACTTATTTATTTACTTGAAAGGCAGAGTTAGAGAGAGAGAAAGAAAATGAGAGAATCTCCCATCTGGTGATTCACTCCCCAAATGGCTGCACCAGCAGACCTGAGCCAGTTCAAAGCAGGAGCTTCATCTGGGTCTTCCATGTGGGCGTAGGGGCTCAAGCACTTGGATCATCCTATACTGCTTTCCCAGGCACATTAGCAGGGAGCTGGATCAGAAGTGTAACAGCTGGGACTTAAATCAGCACCCGTATGGGATGCTGGCAACACAAGCTACAGATTAACCCACTGTGCTGCAGCACCAGCTCCTATTAATACTTTTTTAGTGAAAATATCTGTACTCATTCCCTCCCTCTCAGTGTGATGCATTGTTTTACACTTCAGCAAATTTCTAGGAAAGAACTGGGTCCTCAGAACCTGCTTCTGTGTTCAGTCTGTGTAATGTGCAAGTTTTGAATGAGGCATATAAGGAAAATCTGGTCTTGCACAGCTTATATAGTTGGAAAGGCAGGAATATATTTCAGGTATTTTCATATAATGGGATATTTTTGACTTGAAATAAAAACTAGGTAAATGATTTTTTGAAGATTAGTTACAAGTTTTCATATTCTCTTCACTCATGAAGGAATGAGTATGAAAAGGCAGGCATTATCATATTAATAGGAAAATAATTTTGACCTTGTGGACTCACTGAAAGAGTATTAGGGATACTTTTTTTTCAATTTTTAAAAATTTACTCTTGAGAGCTCTGATCCATTGGTTCACTTCCCTAATACCTATGACAGCTGGGCCAAGCCAGGAGCTGGGAGCTGAAACCAGGTTTCCCAGGTGGGTGGCATCACAGGTGACATCATCTATTATCTCCTAAGGTTTGCATTGGAAGAAGACTGGAGTCAGGAGCTGGAGCCAGGGATCAAACCCATGTACTCTGATACAGGATGTGAGTGTCTTAATCGTCTCAGCTAAATGCCTACCCTGTCCTGATCATACTTTGAGAAATACTGGCCTAGAGTTCCTTCTTCCTGGGCCATCAATAATAGTTTGTCTGGTTCGCCACCATCACATTTGTGTCCTTGTATTGAGCTGATGAGAGGGAAACAACAAAAATGTACAGAGGAAAAACCATCAAGAGTAGAGCTCTGTCTAGGGTAGGCAGCATCCCTAGTTGAGGAGATATACTCGGTGTCCTTTGTCTGACACCAGCAGTGTGCATACCAAGAGCAGGAATCTGTGTTTCAGGTGTTTGTTGGGCTGAATGCATCCATACTGTGGCCCTTCGTTGTAGACAGTCCCTGTGGGGTCAAAGAAAGGCACGTAGCCATCCCTGCCGGTGCACAGATAGACTTTCTCCAGCTGCAGCTTGTAAGCAGAATTAAGGTTTTGTTCTGGATTCCAAAGTACTCGGCCATAGAGGATCTGACCTGAAAAGATGGAAAGGCATTAATTAGGTCAGGCTTCAAGATGAAAGAGAAATGTCAAGGGTAGAGAGGGTTTAACATACTCTCTTACAGTTAAAAGTACCTTTGGAGGGAGAACTCTCGGATTCCTTGGTGCCCTAAGTTACCCATTTGTTTTACTCAATAAGCATTAATTAAGCATTTCCGGTATATCAAGCACTTGATTATACACAAGGGAAATGGGAGATGCAGTTGAGAGGAGAAAAATAAAAGCACAATGATTAATAAAAATAGCACAACTGATAAATGTTAACTATCTTCCAGGTAGTAACTAAGTCCTTCTCATGCAGTAACTCATGGAGTGATCAGTTTTACAGATGAGGAAGTTGAGGCACTGAGTGGCTAAGTGACTTAATGGAAGTCCCAAAGCTAGCAGGTGGTAAGGGTGGCTGAGCAACCCATAGTGGCATCCTGTTACATATCACGACGGAGAAAGCTGTCACGTTGAATGGGCACAAAGCAAGTATAGAAATTTGCCTGGGAAAAGCTGTGCAAGGACTAAAGAGAAATAATTGAGAGCATCTTGAAATGGGAGTAGACAATTTTCAGAACATTCAGGAGATTACAGTGAGGCAGAAGAAAACATTCTAGGCAAAACAGAGTCCATGTACAAAATACTGACTGCTGGATGGGTGTGAGTCTTGGAGTAGCAATTGTTTGCTTCATGCCTGCCATAGTGCCAAGTTCTTTACCTATACCATCTTAATCCTCTCTCAAGATCCCAAGAGATAAGATTGTGTTTTATCCAAGGTCCCACAGCCACGATGTGTCCAATGCTTATCCAAACACTGACTACACAGTGCTAAGTAAGTTAGTGTGACTGGTGGGGCAGGATGTGCAGAGGACCTGATAGTAGGGACCCTAGGGAAGATAGACAAACTGCTGATGATGCTGGAACTGCATAGCTAAGTGATGTACAGTTCCAGGAGCTTGCAAGCAGGGATGTAATAATAGCACCCCTGGACTTTAAGAGTGTGGAGAATGAGGAGACTTGAGTTACAGAGACCAGGCATGGCTATTTCAGTGCTCTGGTGTGACACAGGTACCTAAAACAGCTGTGAGGCAAGGGGATGCATTTGGAAAATGTCCAGGCATCCTATTCAGCTAACCATAGTGTAGGCAGCTGTGGGATCTGAAGGAGATGAGGATAACCTTGAAGTGTGCTGGTGCAGCAGGCAATGGGCAGCATATGTGAGAGGTGCATGTCTGGGAGGGGAAAAGTCCAGTCCTAGACAACTCTGGGCTTCTGGGAGACCTCCCACTCAGAGAGGGTCAGCAGTTCAGGTGTGCAGGTGGAAGTATAGAAAGGTATCTCAGGGGAGATCAGGGATAAGGCCAGGTTTTTATGGAATGGCTGTGGAGTAGTAGGAATACAGGAGAATCAGAGCAATCATGTGGTCAAAACTATGGGATGACCAGACACAGTGTTCAGGGGAGCCAAGCATGGGATGTGGGTACTCCAGCATGGAAGGGCCAAAGGGTCGAGGACTCCAGGTAGGAGAGAGAAGTGAGCTGAGAGGCCACGTGGTGTCCAGTGGGACTGATGCAGAGGAAGCCAAACAGGAAACATGTCAAACACATGAATTTGGTGTCACTTTTAAGAGAATCCAGAGCTACAACAGGGAGGATTCTAGGGTGCAGCAAAGGGAAGGTCAAGAGGGGCCACAGGGATGCTGTGAACTCCCCACTCTGGAAATTTGTCAGAGAAAGGAAAAGGAGAAACTGGGCTGATGCTTGTGGGGCAGGTAGGGTGAATGGCATGTTTATTTCTGTGTTGGGCAAGACTTGAATGTGTTAAAGATATGAGAAGACAAGAGATAAAAGATAGGAAAGAGGCTGATGGGGGTCATAGAGGAAAAGCAGGTAATTCATTTGTTCAGTAGAGACCTGGGAAAGGTGCTATGGTATGCAAATTGGATATCTGATCACAGCCTCTCTTTGGACTGAGTGTCCAAGATATATGCCTAGTGTGTATATTAGATGTTAAAACTGTGTTAAGTACCATAAACAATGGACGGCATTCTACAAAAGTGGAGAATATGGAGACCCATATTAGATGGTATGGTGTAGCCAGGGAAAGCTCTTGCAGGGGGCTAACATTTACTCAGACCTGAAGGAGGAGAAGGAGCAAGCTTTGGAAAAGTCAAGGGACCATGTCTGGGGTGGGAGCGGTGAGCAGAGGGATAACGCTGGTAGTTGAAGTATCGTGTAGAGTAAGGTGTTTGTCATCCCTCTGAGGCTGGGAGGCAGTGGGGGTACTACTGCAATCTCTGAGAAACTGAGATGAAGCAGCTTAACCCAAAGCTGGCCAGTCGCTGAAAGTCAGGTCGGAAGTCTCGGTGCTTTTCCACATCAGCATGCTGTCATCACAGGGTGCCAAGTATGTGATGCTGTTGCGAAATGTGAAGGATGGGGGTCTGCTCTTGGCTGCCCGGGAACCAACCCCAGGGAATCTTCCCTTAGCAAGCTGACTGAAAGCTGATAAGCAGAGGTGCTAGGGCAGGGTCTTCCCCAAAGCTTCTCAAGTCCAGGCAGAGCCAGCAACTTACCTTTAGAGAAGGCTCCTTTGTAGTCCATCTCTGCCAGGGACATGTCAGATGTGTTGGGATCCATCAGGAACACCTTTTCGTTATTGCAGAGCTGAAATTCAGTGTTGAGCGAATACACTACAGGCACAGGGCGGTTGGTCTGCTGGAACGCAATGGGTATCAGGAATCTAAACGTGGGAGAAACGGCAGCCTTGAGAGGAGGGTCAGCTCTGCACTTGTCACTGAACGGCCTCCCTTCTCTACCGTTCTCACAGCTGTGTACCAGGCTTTGTTGTGGTGTCAGTTACTGAATAAAGAGATGCCTGTGGGAGAAGGACTTTGGCTGTTATGAGGTTATCTGATTTTTATTTTTGACAAGGAATGACATAATTAGCCTTTAGAATCCTCTGAGACCTGCTATGGTTTAGATGTGGTTCGGACCATAAAGGTTCATGTATTGGAAGCTTGGTTCCTAGTGCGGTGAGATCAAGAGGTAGTGGGACCTTAAAGAGGTGGGGTCTTGCGGGAGGTCATTAGGTCATTGGGGTGTACCCCTGGAAGGGATTAATAAAGTTCTCATGGGACCCTAGTGTAACTAGGGTTCCCTGTCTTCCGATTTGCATGTGCTCCCACTATGATATCATCCCTGGGATGTGCCATGGCCAGTGAAGCCCTCCCTAGCAGCCCAATTGATGAGGCCATCTGATCGTAGATTTTTTTAGCCTTTGAAACTGTGAGCTAAATGAACCTCTTTTCTTTAGGAAGTACCCAGTCTCATGTATACCATTAGCTTTTTTTTTTTTTTTTTTTTTTTTTGGTACATCTTCATTCTAAGAATCCCAGAGTTACTCTTTGATTGCTAGAGGGTTCAGAGACAGGGTGCTCCCCAGTCATTTTCTTCTCAGATCCACATACTCTGAAACTTGGACTCACTCAGTCTATAAAAACTTGTTTAATCAATGTCACACTTTTCAGTGCTAGGTGATCCTCTTTCCTGGCACCTTCCTACCTGACTCCCTTTGTGAGTCCCTTCCTTCTTTGCCTACTTCTGCAGATCAGGGTGCTTCAACGCTCAGTCCTAGGACCCTCTACCTCAGTTTCACCTGGGATGACCTTGGCCTTGTCACTGCATTGGTTATCTTAAATGTAGTGAGGCCAAATTTAATTCTCTGATTCAGGTTTCACCTCTGAACTCTGGGAACACACATCTGACTGCTGTCCTTGGTGGCTGACTCAAAGAGACCTCAAAGAGATCTTTCTGGAAGTGCATATCCTCGTGAAGGGCCACACAGATGTACCTGGAGTCAGGTTTAGTTGCCTCTAGTATACTGACTATGATAGACTTAGGTACTGTAATTTTTAAAAACTCAACTTTAAGATCCTTTAGTGGTCCCACATAGCTCTTAGAATGTAGACCAACATGACCTACAAAAGCTTTGGCCTTTGCTTCTTTGTCCAGACTTATCTCCTGCTACTCTTCCTCCTTCTCTAGGATTGACTCAAATCTACCTTCTTTAGGTCTGTTGACAGTTCTCTATTCCATGATCTCTTTTTTTTTTTTTTTTTTTTTTTTTTGACAGGAAGAGTGGACAGTGAGAGCGAGACAGAGAGAAAGGTCTTCCTTTTGCCTTTGGTTCGCCCTCCAATGGCCGCCATGCTGCGGCCGGCACCGCGCTGATCCGAAGGCAGGAGCCAGGTGCTTCTCCTGGTCTCCCATGGGGTGCAGGGCCCAAACACTTGGGCCATCCTCCACTGCACTCCCTGGCCACAGCAGAGAGCTGGCCTGGAAGAGGGGCAACCGGGACAGAATCTGGCGCCCCAACCGGAACTAGAACCCAGTGTGCCAGCGCTGCAAGGCGGAGGATTAGCCTAGTGAGCCGCGGCGCCGGCCCCATGATCTCTATAGCCCCATTTATGTAAATATTCACTGAGCATGCATCAGACAACAGACACTGTTGGAGTAATGGGAATTTATATGAGGCTAAAACAGAAAAACATGCCTGCAGGGAGGTTACATCTTAACAAAGAGTTTATCTGTACACAAATAAGTTAAAAATCATGTAACATGTTAGAAGGTAAGATAAGGGAACGTTAGCTCTCTGATACTGCAGTGAGGTGATACAGAGCCACACAGAACGATGTTGGAAACACTGGATCTTTTTAAGGATGTCAAAGCAAGATGCAGGAGCCATTGCCTGTGTCTGGGTTGTTGCTGCCTGGTGAGGGTCAACAGTGTCTTGGGCCCTGGATAGGAGGCCTGTGGAAGAACCCAGGCAAAGGGAGCATGGGTCAGCAGGGGAGGTGGCTGGAGAGACCCCTCTGGACGTGAAATTGTAGCTACTGATTGGAGGGAATCACCTCTCTTTTGACTGGAAGAGTGAATTGGTCAGCATGGTAAATGGTGGTCGTGGTGGATCAAAAGAGATACAAAGTACAACAAATATGAAAATGCAGATAATAAAAGGAACTCCTGAAGGAGTACTAAAAATTCTTGGCAGCTAAGCAATGCAGACAAAAGCAAAAGTGGTAATCAATGATTTTCTCATAAAACAAAAAATTATAATTGAGTCACAGAGCTGAGTTACCTCCAGTTAATTAAAACTTCACATAGAGGCAGAAAAAAGCAAGCTTGATGGCATAATATTAGACAGACAACTGGAGGAAGGAAAATGTTCATGTAATGTGTGACTTGAGAGAAGGGAGAAAAGTCCAGTTCCCAATCCTGCCTATTTGAAGATTCCTTTCAAACTTACCCTTAGGTCGTGAAACATATTAAAAAGCTAACACTAATTCAGTAGCAGGAATGGCCAATAGATCAACAAGGAATAGCTGTCATAGGAGTAGCCTAAACTGGAACCAGGAAGCCACTGTCATATTTAATGCCTGGACTTATTCATCCTGGTTGTCAACCAGTCAGTAGAGAGAGAAAGAATGGACCTGCATGCCGGTTCTTACACTCACCTGAGAGTTAGCTCTTCAAGGGCAAACTCGATGTTTTAAGCAGTCACACAAGAATCTCAGAAGTGTTTGTATATGTGGTGGTGGTGATTGAAATGCACAAATACAAGACATTTCAAAAGGCATAGACATCATTACTACAACTCCTAGAAGACTAGCTGACTTACAAATGAATAATTTCATCAAACTCAAAAGCATAACTTGCTTTTTTTTTTTTAAAGGTTTATTTACTTATTTGAAAGGCAGAGGCGGGGAGGTGGGGGAGAGAAAGAGAGATCAAGAGATAGAGATCGAGATCTTAGATCCACTGGTTCACATACAAATGGCTACAATGGCTGGAGCTGGGCTGATCTGAAGCCAGGAGCTTCTTCCCAGTCTCCCACATGGGTGCAGGGGCCCAAGGACTTGCACCATCTTCCACTGCTTTCCTAGGAGCATTAGCAGGGAGCTGGATTGGAAGTGGAGCAGCCAGGACTGGAACTGGAGCCTGTATGGGATGCCAGCACTGCGAGTGGCAGCTTTACCTGCTACACCACAGCATGGGCTCCCCTGTTTAGTTTTAGATGAAGTAAATGAGATGTTGGACATGAGACATGAACCCCAGATAAGGAAGATTTTATTAAACATGCACCCAGATAGGCACACAGTTATGACAAGTGCAACCTGGCCATATGGTGCCCATTGACTCACACAGTCATACTTGAAAGAGCTGATGATTGAGTATGTTGGAACCTTGGACCCAGCTGCTATAAATACAGTAAAGCAAAAATATAATCTTCACCACTGAAGAAGAGAAAAAAATGCATCTACAAAAATTCCTACCAAATATGTCACCTAAAGACAAAGTCACAGCCTTCCTCAGTAGAAAAGCTGATCATTGTCAAGTGTCCTAGTTCTCCCACACATGTCAGTAGAATCTCTGCATGGCAGGAGAGAACAAAGAGATTGGGAGAAAGCATTGAACTTTAAAACAGGTTGAGTGAGAATACTGCTACTGATTTAGCATCATATGGACTGGATGGCAATGATATGCATGACTATGATTATGATTTTCCCCAGAACGTTGAAGAGTATGTTCACAGAGTAGGGTGCATTTGAAGAGCAGGGAGAATTGGATAGTCAGTTACCCTTATTGCCAGAAATGACTTGAGGATTGTCACTGGCCTGATTAATATTCAAGAAACAGCAAATTGGAGTACCCCAGAGGAGTTTGTAATCATGGCTGAGCAGTACAAGGCAAACAAACTGAAAAAAGAAATGGAAAAAAAAGTTGGAAGACCTCAAGGGAAGCCCAAAAAGTTTTATTAATTATGTCTTACTGAAAAGTGGCATTAGCCCAGCAGAGGTAAAATTTTACCTACTGGGCCTTCAGGCCTGCCTGTATAAACTAGGCTTTGTTAGTGTATTTATTACAATCAGTATATCCGAGTATTTCTTCAATTATTAAAGTGTTAGCTCTCTAACCAATTGCCTAAAGTCTAATATATGTTCAGAATCAGGAGTACTAGTACAGCGTAGAGAAAAAATTAAGTTGTATAGAAAGGTATTATAGCACAAAAAATGGTAGAGGTAAAAACTTGGCAAAATGCCTTCTGAGAGGCTTGGTAATGTGTCAGTGGTAAATACATATTTTGATACATCAGTTCTAGGAATGTGTTTTATAAATATGCCTGTTTACAGGAGATTTAAAGCAATGTTTACACTAGGAAAAGAATGTAACGATTGTCTGGCAAGGGAGCTAAATGGATAAACTACAGGTATTACTGGGCATGTGGACTATCTTTAAAGATATCTGTTAAAAGAAGAAAAGCAAAAACATTCTAGCAAGGTTGATTGAGCTAACACCAGAAACCACCTACTTCAAACTCATTTCTAGAAATGCAAGATGTGAGATTTTCTTAACAAGTTCCCAAAGCTGGATGATGGATGAGAGTTTGTGACTCGGTATGTTATGAAACATTTCCACAATAAAACTCAATTGGATAAACAAAAAATAAAAAATTGTTCCAGCCATTATGGAAAACAGGATGCCGGCTCTTCAGAATGTGTAAAATTGAGGCACCATGTGACCCAGCAATCCCTCCTCTGAGTGTGGACTCAAAGGAGGTGAAATTGGCACTTTGTGTAGGTATCCACACTCCCATGTTCACTGCAGTGTTACTCAGAAAGAAAATCGCAGGCCTTAGTGAGGAGAACATTCATGCAGAGGCCTGAGAGAGGCGGGGAGTAA